AATAGTCTAATCTCAAGTTTTGAGAAGAGAGCTTGGAGAATTTTGGTGTACGAATCACAAATCGTTGATATAGTTGAATGTAATTGAACATAAAACGCTGAAACATTGGAAAAATATTTATCAAAAAAAGCTTTGTTATTGGTTTTTATTGCTTTTGAAAATACACGCTACTCATTAGCTGAATTAGGCTTGATTCAATCAGTGTTAGCAGACTATAACATCAAAGTTAAAGCGTTGGATCACATTTAAGTACGATTAGAAAATTATTTTTAGTAACTGAAGTCATTGATGCTAGACTCATGCACACTGGCTTGCCACCATTTCTGCGAAGTTGTAGCAAAGATTTAGCAACAATTTTTACGAGGGTTAGATTTGCTTAACTGTTTCTTAAATTCGCAAATTGACTTTCTGAGCTTTACTCAAAAAGTAAGAAGGCCGCCTTCGTACTTCTTGAAATAAAAAGCGGAAAAAAAATCCCCCTATTCCTTCCCTGCCCACAAATTCAATCCCGGTCCCCCCTCAAATCTGCTTCTGAGAAGGATCCAACTTTTTTGAAAATTTTTGATGAAAACTTTAGTGTTTTTTGGCGCGGGCTTCTTCTCTCAAAGTCATTAAAAATTTGCGCCACTCAGCCGAAAATGTTGCAGTAAATAGTACAAAAAAGAAAGTTAATGGTGGTGAAATTGCAAAACTTTTGATATGAGGGTTATTTGTTTGTTTGGGGACTTTAAAGGCAAAAAATAGCGGATGTTTACAAGGTTTAACTTTTAATTTTTTTAATGGAAAGCGCTTTAAAAAACAGTACTAGAAACTAAGAACTTAGTTTCATATAAATACTTATTTATAAGTTTAAATGATGAAAACAATTTCAAAGCTTGTAGTTATTGCAACTGATTCTCTCAGGCAAAAGATTGAATTTCCATTGACAGAACAGAAAATGGCGAAAGAATAAAAGAAAAATTTGTAACACTTTTTCCTTTATTTTCAATTTTAATTGGATCTACATTGCACAAAATATTATTTCAGCTAATTATATCAGAAGAAAAAGCCTTTCCGCAGCTCTATTTTAAATCGCCGTTTGTTTAAAAAACGGCATTGATCTACATTTTTGTTAAATGCTCTGATCGACATCGATCCACAAATTACGCTACAAAAGCTTTCACGATTTTTTTTGGATCAGCATTCCAAGCCCTCTTCCCCAATCGATTTCAATTTAGAGGGAATAAAACACGGATTTCTTAAAACTTGTTTTGATGGCAAAAGAAATGGATCTAAATTAGAACAAGACGGCTCGTATGTCAGGGTAAAACAATGAGTTGTACGAAGTTAATACGGCCAGTTAGCCTGCCTCAATTCAATTAGGATCAATTTTGTAATGAGCGATTTTTTTCCACGCATAATTAAACCACGTTACGTTGTCCGCATCAAAAATGAAAACTTCACAGTTAACATAAATTAACGCAGAGTACGGCCAAATTGCCAATTTTTGAACTCCCACAATTTTCGAACTCCCCATTAAGGGTAAATTAATCTTTTTCATTTGAACTCAGAGAGAGCATTTAAATTACATTCAAAAAAGAGTAAAAAACATTTTAGGTTAAAACTTCAGTATTATTTCGATTGCAAAAACTTGATTGAACAAAAAAACCATCCTAAGCAAAAACACTTTGCATTTAGTTGGAAGTCACAACAAAAAATTAATCCAAGTTTGATTATGAATAAGTACTTGCGCAATCAGCAGTATAAAGTAGTTAATCTCAATCAAAAATTTTGTCCAACAAAAACAATCTGATTGCCTGTCTAAAGGCATTTTTTTCGCAATTAATGGGAAACATTCTAGGGGGATATTTTTTGGTAAGTTATTTCGGGGAAAGGGGTTGTACGGTTGATACTTTTTAAAAACCTTTCAATGAAAATTTTTAATTGTAATTTTATTTCCAGGTTTTTCTGCAAAAGCTAGCATGAACTTCATGTCAAGTCGAAACCCTAATATTTCCGAATGCCATTTATCTTTTATGGAACATTTCATCTCTAGCATTTTTCGAGATTTGTTTAAAACCATCAGTTGCACGCTATATAGGGAAAAAAATGTGTTAAACTTTTTATATAGTAATGTGAAATAGAAAGAATCAATCTGCTTCAGTTTGGTGCTCTTTCTGAGCCGGAATATTTTGCCATTTACGCGTTATAAAACGAAATACTTGCGAGTTAAAAGTCTATCTTCAAACAGCATCACATCGCAAAAAAATTACAGGTGTTTTTTTTTCAATTTGAGCTCAAGATTTGGATATTTTCAAATCGTATTAAAAAACCGTCCCAAATGCCTGGTTGAAACGTCGAAAGTAATCTTTAGAAAAAAAACACCTAAGCTTAGATATTCCATCAATTTCCTTGAAAATCGGAGAAACCAAGGTATATAATTGCTGTAAAAATAGTCCAGATTTTTTCCGCCTAAGTTTAGGATAAACAATATATGAAACTATTGGTGAGCCCTTTGAGCTGCCTTTTGTTGAATTGTTTGAGTTGTGTTTGGTTTGAGCTGCCGTGGACGCGTGGGGGAAGGCAAGCGTCTCTCAACTGAGGGCAGTGCGTTCGAGTCCCACTCGGTCTCGGTTGAGTGTCATTTGCCTTCTCAAGGTGGGAACGCCTACAGCAGTTTTCAAAAGTTCAAACAATTGGAAAAAAACAGAAGTTGAAACTACTTGTTTTACATGAAAATGAATTAACCATAGGTTAAGACGTATAGCCGTAATGAAAAAAACTTGCTCTAGTAAATGAGTTTTGCATAAAAAGTTTTTTAACGATCTAACTTTCAAATTTTTGAAATGCTTGTTTTTCTGTTATTTCCATTTCATCGCACCTTATTTTGAAAACGAAAGAATTTGATTTCAAAATAAGATGTCTCATTTTTGTCGATTCTTTTTTCCTTAATTAGTTAACTAACTACTAGTGTCTAAGGAAAACGTTTGTTTCTTCAGTGTGCTTGAAAAATAGGTTAGTAGTATAAATTAATTTTTTATCCTGTCAACAAATGGTGTCATCAGGGAGTGGGTGGATCTAGAAGCCTCGCAAAAAAATTGATGCACAACTTATTGTAAGAAAAAGGATGCACAAACACAATTGTCATTTTAAAAAATTGTGAGAAAGGAAAATGCTTTTCTCTATGTTGTCGTTGTTTTTCATCTATGATGAGTTATTCAATATTTTGAGAAATAGAAAAAATCACTTTGTTTTGATAACTTAGGTCTATTCCAGCTCTCTAGTTAACCAACAATCATTATACTGGTATATACTGGCAACGTCAAGAGATAAACACTTGGACAACCACTATAATCTAAATGAAAACTGCTCGTATTAGGGCAAAAATGGAATATTCTGGCTGTCTGTTTCATAAAAAATGTTGCCTGATACTGCATGTTCATAAAATTTTTTTGCGTGCACAAAACTTCAAGAAAAAATATAAACTTAAGGTCTACCTATACAATTTTTGAGCTATCAGTTTGCGCCAAGTAATAATAGAATGATTTCTTGTCTAATTAGTTCGTTGGATACGCTACGACACTATTTAATTAAATTCAAAAAATTTGCGAAAGTCAGTCATACCAACGAGGAAATCATCAAACTTCAATCTAACTAGTATTTTTCAGTCTGTTCAAAGAACGCAAAAAAATCATATTATAAAAAAGTTAACTTCTCAAAAGATTTTCAGCGAGCAAAAACAAAAAAAATAATTTTGGTTTCCAAGTATAGGCAAACAAATACACTTGGGAGAATATAAAAAACGTTTTCCTTTTGGGGTTTTCTCAAGTGTATTTGTTTGCATATACTTGGAAATGAACTTAGTTGTTATAAATGTTTAGGCTAGCTGAGTTTTTTAGAGAAGTTTAGGTTTCTTAACGTTGTTTGTGACTTTTTATAATAGATACCTTTGTACAAAATAGAAATTAAAAAAATCGTTTCTAGAAACAAGCAAACATATTTGGTTGCTGCAAAAAAAAAATTTTTTTTTTTCAAAACGTTTTTTTCCCTATTATTTTTTCGTTCCAGAACGGCAATTGAATTAGTTAGAAAACAGCAAAAACAAAATTCAAAGCCAGACAAGAATTCTCGAATAATTGAGCAAAGCGTTGAATGTTCCGTTCCGACTGCCATTTAATCCATATCAAATCTACAGGAAAAAAAATTTGGAAAAACTATAAATTTTGGCCATCATTAAATATCATGTGAGAAAATTTGAGTCTCACAAAATTAATACGGCCAAGTAGCTAGCCTTGATTCAATTTGAAGCGATTTTGTTGTGCGTGATAAATCGGCATAATGAAAAAATTTTCAAGATGCGCATAGATTAGTCCAGAGCATGGCCAAATTGGAAATTTTAAAACACCCAGAACTTTGCGAAAATTGATCAAAGGTCAAACATCTTTTTAAATTTGATTTCAGGGAGTCGATATCTTCAATGGATAAAAAGTTTTTTTTTTGCTTAAAAAAGTTATTTTGATTGCCGAAAATTGACTGAATAAGAAAACCACACCAGAAAGTCGAAACAATAAGGCTTTACCAATATGCTGCTTGATTTATTCCGCATTGGATCAATTCAAACATATCTCCCTTTTTGAGGGGAGAGTTTTTGAAGGGAGAGAAAACATGGTTTTTAAACAACAATGCGAACACCGATTGATAAATTGGATAAAAACCAGAAGGCTGTAAACGCTGAATGTTCCGACTGCCTTTTAATGCATATGAAGAAGGCTTTGACTTAAAAAAAACTGATTTTGATTTTTTTTGAAAGTTCAACAGCCAAAAAATTGAACGACGAAAACTTTACAAAACGGTTGCAAGTAAAATGTCTGTCTAGTTTCGAGCTCAGTCTTAAGTAAACATTTAGCAGTCGTTTTGGAGGCGAGAGGTTCGGAACACTGCGCGAGGAGGGGGCGCTCCTGATTAGTAATATATGTTGGCAACCTTGAAGAAACTAATTGAAAGGTTGAATTTGTTTGTAGATTCGCAACCTGATCCCGTTCTTGAGGAAGGAGAACTTGGACAAGCACCAGGCCATGAAGAATCTGGAGAAGGAAAACCAGGCACTGAGGAGACAGCTCAAAGAGAAAGATGAACAGATCGCTCATCTTCAGGGTAAACATTGTTACGTTAACATTAGGGGAGCGGCGGTGAAGTGGTCACGTCTCAGCCTCTCAACCGAAAGGTCGGATGTTCGAGGCCCATCATGATATGTGCTCGTTGCTAGAGATTGAGGCAACATTACCCACCCAGAAAAATAGTTAAAAAAACTGCATGTATATCTTAACCAGGGGCACAACAGCAGTTCTCCGAGAAGAACTGAACAGCTCGTACCTTGGTCCTTCCTCTTGTAGAAATATCGTTTTATCACTAAGCCCATGAACGAGCGGTTGCAACATTAAAAAAATGACGATATCGATCTCCCCAAAGGAAAAAAGGCCCAAGTCGGAACTAGGGCCAGGTCAAAAACCCTTTTAACGTAAAACAATAGACATCAAAGTCCATAGGTTCAGTGGATTGAGGCCATCAAGCCTAATAATTGCTCTTTGCTTTGCTGGCTGCTTAAACACAGATGATGCTGACCCATAAATGGACGAGCACACCGAATGGCTCGTCGTTAAATGCTGAAAAGTTAATGAAATAGAGCTATTATGAATTATTTTTGGTTGTATTAATTTTAACAATTGTGGTTGTTTTTGTTAAAAATGAGAGTTTTCATGAGTTTTTTTGCAGAGGAGATGGACAAGATGCGTTCGGTGCTGCAACAGATGCAACTGGGAACCAATCACAGTCTCGCCTCGCCCCTCCGCGTCTCAGCCAATCACAATTCAGCCGAGCAGAATGGGTCGGGGCGCGGGTCTATTGGCGCTCTGGGGACCGCTGTTAACACAAAGAAACAGGGCGTGTCAGCGGAGAGTGCGGCCAAACCCGGAAACCATGTCAATATCCAGATCAAAAAATATCCCAAGAGTAACGAGTGAGTTTTGTTATTTTTTTGCAGACAATCATCAAGTGGTTCTTTTTTAATCAACGTATCGACTTGAAAGGTACTCTTTTTTTTATGAAAATTGGATTGAAAATTTTTCAGTAATTAATTATCAAGCAACGAATTTGAACTTAATTAAATTAATTTTGTCTTTTTTAGAAAAAAGCATTTCATTTTTGCAATCGCAAGTTTAGAAAAACTGCCTTTGTGTAAAATCTTCTTCATTTAATATGAGATGTACCTTCCATGCTGAATAACTCCACAGGATCCCAATCAGCTACACCTATATTTTGCTTTCAGCGCAAAAAAGGCAACCTGGTTGCAATGAAAAACCAAATTGAAGCAATTTTGAACATCACAACATGATGTCATTGTAATTTTAATCACACATGTAATTGATACATTTTAACGAGTTGTCAAACCGAGATGTCAAACCGAGAAGCAAAAATGCTGCATTGAAGCCTGTAAATAGCCAATTTGTTTCAAAGAAAAATAGAAGACATATATGCTAATTGCATTTTATGCATATTTGTTCCAACCATTTGAAAAATATGAAGGAACTTTGTATACGGGTGTGTTTTTTCATTTTCAAACAAAAATCAGGCACCACAAATAATCATCGGAATGGGTCGAGTGATATATCATATTAAATACCTGTCAATTGTGATTTGAACAACGCTGAAAAACCAGTTTGAAATTTTTGATTTTTGGTTCAATTTTAAGCTAATAAGGTGAGGTTAAGCAGGCTTACAAAAGCTTATTTAGTTGAATTAGGCCGTAAAGACTTATTCATACCCAATTAACGCAAGTTTTTGTTTTTTAGCGCCAATTTGGGAACCAAAAACTTCAAAACTCAAATACTCTGCAAAAAAAGTGAAAATTTCTTTGAAAATTTGTTGTTTTTTTCTACGATTTTTTGTTTTTCGTTTTTATAGTCAACTTTCAGCAAAAACACTGTTTTCCAATTGGCCTTTTTTACTATGAAGTTTGAATGTCTAATTTTTATATTTCCAGATAGCTATTATAAGACACCGCGCAGAAAACACGACACTAATTATTAAAAATGTGTTTTTTTATAAGACTCTGGTCGGAACATTCTGCTACTTGCACCTTAACTGGCTATCCTTGTTTTAATACGTTGTGTTTTCAATTTAAAAGAGACTAAAGGAGTTTTAAAGAAGAAGGAGAAAAATATACAATTTATTTCAGTACTGATTAGGTGAGATTACAAATCAAATTAACAATAAGATTAAATTATCAAGTAACCAAGAAGGGATAGATGAGAGCTCACAAGGTGCCTGAAAACTTCTACACCAAAACAATAATAAATGACATCAAACTAGCCTTTAATTTTGCCGTTCCAATTTCGCTTTTTTGAATCAAACTTTCCCGCATACTGTCCTAAAAATTTTTAGTTTTTATCAATTTTTATCAATTTTCAACAAAATAACAAAATAGGGTTCGATGCTTATTACAATCGAAAAAAATTGATTCATAGCTAAAACTCAGCTTGATTAGTTGAATTGTTTCTCAATTATCAGTTGTCCGAAATTAGTAGCCTACATAGGAATTTTATGATTATCATACTTCCACAAACTTTCAAATCTCTCAAAGTTTTTTTTCGTTATAATAAATGTTTGTGTTTGTTTTCAACCACAGTAACCCTGGATAATATATACCCATTACACAAATTCACATTTAGGATCTCATAAAATTACTGCATTATGAAGTTATGTCAAGGAGTAAACTTTATTTCTGAAAAAATTGTATGAAAAATTTTATCGATTTTCTATATTCATGCTCAAAGAGTTTCAGCTAGTTTTTTTTTCGTCATAAGAACATTGGGTATAATGTCTTAACTAGCCGCTAAGTACATGAAAGGAAATTTGGATAAATATATACTTACAATTATAATTTTACTTGAACATTTTATTAGAATCTGTGTTTTTTTGTACAGAACTAAATTTGTTAACAAAAAATGTTATCAAATATTTCTGGTAAGTTTTTGCAATTTTTCGAAAAATTATTATTTACGCAATTTTTTAAAATGATAAATGAATATCTAGTTTTTTTGATAAACTCCCTATATGCAATCGTATGGCTAGCGTTTTCGATGTATGTTGGTCAACCCGGGGTTTCTTGTTTAATTTTTTTGCTCAGAAATGCATGATTAGATACTCAAAACTCGTATTTCGTCAATTGTATTTTTACGTCCCTCCGACGAAGTTTCGCTTATTTTGCCACCATTCCGGCTTTCTCCAAAATAAATAGTCACTAATTTGCAAATAGTATTGAATTAAATAAAATCAGTGCAATCTTTATATTTTTTTAATGATCCTCTAAAAAGTTGATTTATAACTACTTAACCAAAATTCAACAATCAATCATTTTTTTTTCAAAAAAAAAATTTAAATTCAAAATTCTTGAGTGAAGTTTTTTTTCTGAAAACAACGTGGTCGAAACATAATTTGCTACTTGTGCAGTCGCCGGTTTTTTATTGTTATGATGTTTGGAAGTTGAGGCTTATTGTAAGAGCTACAATAAAAAGTCCAAAAAATGGAGTTTTATTGCACTACATTTTAAACTTTTTTGCTCCTCTATGCCAAATTTTCTGAAGATCTGTTGTGAATATTGGGTTGAAATGACCTAACTTCTTCATGAGTCAATTATTTTAATACAAGTATTTCATTCAAAAATTTGGGTTAAAAATTTTTTCACAAAAAGCTTCTACTTAGGGCGAGATGTGGGTTGTATTTTCAGATTTCTCGTTTATTGATACATTGAGATGAGTATATACAAATTGAGCTGCTTTTGTATATAATTTATTTTCGAAAGATTATGCGTCATTGAAAATTTAATTTTTTTCATCAATGATTCAAGGAAAACAATCGTTTTCCCAGATATAAGAACTACGAACATTAATTTCCATCTTCAAATAAATGCAAATAGCTCAAATACATATTCGAATGGTCTCCTAATTGGTATCTTCAAAAGCGGTATTAGCGAGTACTGAAAATTTTTTCCGCTTCTATCACTGCTCTTATTTTTAACGCGATTTATGTAGAGCGTAAGAGTCTTTGCTAGCCACAAATCTAAAGTTTTGAGGTTGTTCATTTTTCACAGAACTCGGTCAGTTTCATCACAAATGGGTTGATCACGTTGTCAGCAAATGTCAAGAAGTATAGACCTCCGCTACATACAGTACTCATTTTCCCCAATTAAGGTTTTGAATATGCTATCTGCCCAAATGCATGATTAGCTGTCGACATACTTGCTCAGGAATATTTCTCAGAGCGAGCTTTTACTGATAGAGTGATATTTATAAAGTTGTAAATTAATTCATTTTTTAAAATAAAAAACTTTTATAAGGGCGGAGCGCTGTTCGTTCCCATTGCTTTTTGAGTCAGTAGCAGATTTAGGGGGGCGGGTGAAGCAGGCACCTTCCCTTCAGGGATCGGACCCCCTGCCGACCCAAGAGGCTAATTTACAAATATTTAAGGGTTTGTTTCAAATGCGCCATTGCATTAGCCGTAAATTTTTATTATGTCTTCTCAGTTAGGATTCAATTATCTCATTTAATTAATGTTTTCGAGCTGCCTAAAATAATGCTTTTTTGCATAACGTTTACAGGATTAAGAGTCTGATCACGGGTGCGATTGAGCAGAATGAGTTCACGCAGCACCTGGAGAGCAGCCAAATTGGTGAGATTGTGGAGGCCATGCACGAGGTCAAGTTCAACGCAGACGATTTCGTCATTCAAGAGGGACACATCGGAGACTGCCTCTACGTCATTCAAGGTCAGTTGTTACGTCATTCAAAGTCGGTCGTTGCGTCATTCGGGGTTAGTTGTTCCGTCATGCAACGAATATTCACAGTCAGTCTTCAGTCGCGTTTCTTGTCAGACTTATCATGAAGTAATTGTCTGTTATTTCAAACAAGCTCAGCAATGGTGTCTGGAGTATGACACTGCAAGTAAATAGTTCTGAAATGCAGTTTTCAAAAATTTATAAGCTTAGATTAAAACTGGTATCTCACCTACCATTGTAATAATAATAACAAATTGTTACAGAGTTATTTATAAAAACTTACAAATACAAATTGGAATCGTTTGGGAGAATAGCATTAAGCCAGCACGGTCAAACAAGTTATAAAACATAAATTGTCATACAAGTTATAAAATTTTTGACAAAAAAAAGAAAAAAACGCAAATGAGGTCAAGTTTCAAGGCAACAACTCAGTTGTGAATTTTTGATTGTTGTTGTTGTTGTTGTGCAGATGGCGTGCTTGAAGTGTCGAAGAAGGGCAAGACTCTGACCAGACTGACCTCTGGCACTTTGTTCGGAGAACTGGCTATCCTCTACAACTGCACACGCACTGCTTCAGTCAAGGGTACATTTACGTTTTCTCTTTAATATCGAATGACAGTTTTCCGATTTGAGCTATTTTTCAATAGATGAAAAAATTTTCTTCTCAAGTCCCATTTTGCTAAATGTGGCATACATTTAGTGTAAAAATAAATAGGCTGTTGTATGCAGCGTAGGGTATAGCAATTAGTATTGATATTAAATCAGAAAATTTGCAAACTGCAAAATCAGAAAATTTTCGTTCGGCAAAACAGGTCAACCAACTCTTTTTGATTTTGCAAAAATGGTGTGACCAAATTGATTTTATGATAAAAGACAGCGCTTTTAAAAAGTACAGAACATTTGGTTGAATATTGACGTGTAACTATCTAGTTTTCCGGGAATTTTTGTATCGAATAGCGTGTGATGTTTTTTTGCGCGTCTTTTTCAGCCCTGACGTACTCGCGGCTGTGGAAGATAGAGCGAGTGAGCTTCCAGAAGATCATGATGAAGGTCGTGCTCTCGGAGGAGGATGAAATACAACAGTTCCTACAAAGGTAGCAACAAATTCGTTTGTAAACAACTCATCAGAAATGAGTCACTAGACTGGAAATTTTTGGAAATCAAGATGGCTGTGAAAACTGGCGAACCAAAGGTTTCCTTTAACTGCGTGAATAAAAATTTTGTTCCTAATTTTGCTGTTATTGCGCGTTGTTTTATAAATAGTAGTATCAGTTCAATAACATCCCGCTATTTTTCAAAAAAAAAAAATAAATCGAGTTTAATGATCTTGAAAGCACTCACTCTGCTCATTGTTTCAAGTTTTTTTTCCCTCAGGTATTGCAGACAACGTATATTTATGTGGAGATAACACGAAAGAATCGGGTGTATATTAATTTTATGCTCCCTAATCAACCAAAAAGTAAAGGGAGCATTTAAATAAAATTTTGACTACAAAAAGTGAGTGCCATTTTATTCAGTCATTTTATAATTCAGGAAAATCAAATTTAATTACCAGGTGTTTCGATTTTTTTAGTGTGCCACTTCTCAAAGAGCTTCCGATCGAAGTGATGAACAAACTGGTCTACTGTGTCGACTTTGTAAGTTCATTTTGTCTGTTTTGTTTTATTCATCCAAGTTTTGGAAAAAGTGCGAAATAGATATGCTTTGGGTGGTAATTTTTCAACTTTTCAACAATACATTTTGAAGGTGTTTTAAAAGAAAGAAAAATAACGTTATCAAAAAATTGTTGCCTAGAGCTCAATTTTCAAAAAATATAGTTTATCTGAACTTTTTGCAAAAATATAGTGTTCGAATTTGGGACTACTTTGACGAGTATAATTCGAATTGCGATAGTTAACCCGCAATATGTTTCATTCATTTAAAGCGCAAGCGGCAAACTGAACAATTCCAAATTGAACCGAGACAAGCAATGACTCATAATGATACGTAAGCACACTCAAAGTATATACCTTTATACTTTAAATAGCTTGTGGACGGATAAAATTAAAAACTGAATTCAAATTTTTCTCTTTAAAAAAGGTGATGAAATGCATGTGCTCGGGTGGTTTTTTTCCTAGAAAAATTTCAAGTTTTCAAATCGCCTTTTTAACGAAATTGTTTTTTATATCTTTTGAAAAATATTGTTTTCGTGAGCTAAAAAACTAAAAGGATAGTTTTTTACCTGTGATTATTTTTATTAAAATTATGAGGGGTTCAAAATTGCCATAATGTAATAATTTACGAGTGATGGATATCGTGCTGCTAGCGGATTGGCAGCGTTAAAAGAAAAATTCAATCCAATTGATATACTATATAAGGAAGTTAATTTCCTTTAACTTTATTTTTTAAACTTTTGAGATTTTTGATGGCTTTCATTTTTGCAATTGTAAATATTGCTTCTACTTCTATTAGTCTCATTAAAGACTCGTTGTTAAGCTCATTAAGCTCATTAAAAACTCCTTGTTAAGCTCATTAAGCTCATTAAAAACTCCATTTTTGCAATTGTAAATGTTGCTTCTACCTCTGTTAAGCTCATTAAAAACTCCTTGTAATTTTGCTTGGTTTCCTCTTCTTCATGTATTATGAGAGGTATCTCCTATTTCCATGTTGAATTGCCCCAGGGTATTTGACTCAGCTACATTTGTTTTGTTTGTTTGCAGCATAAATAGCAATCTGGCTGCAAAAAAAAACTGAACCTCACAACATGATGTCATTGTTTTTTAATCACATTTGTAAGTGAAACATTTCAACTGTGATATCAAACTGAGAAGCATATGTGCTGCATTGAAATCCGGAATAACAAATTTTGTTTTAATATGCTAATTGTTTCGACTATCGAAGAAAAAGCGGAATAATTATGGTTGATGTGGTGTTTTTGGTCAGTCATTTTTCTACCTTTTAACTTAGCGTTTTATACCATGCTATTTGATTTGTTTATTAATTTGCTCTTTGCGAATTATGACTTTTTGTACAACACATAACAAAAAAATAGAGAACGTTTTTTTTCCAAAAGTTTCAATAAAGAAATTAAGTTTTTTTTTAAATTGAACCAGATTTTTTTTAAAGCCAATACTGCTTCAAAGAGCCTAAAAGGCAGTCGGATCTTTCAAGGCTTCGTCCTGATACAAACAGTTTTCTTAAGATGATTGAGAAGAAAGTAATTTATGAAGTGACAAAGACCAGTTAGATAGCAAGCTAGAGGAGAAGTTGATAGGGTAGTAATTCTAATTATTTAAGTAGAATTACTTCCATAAACTCTATAAACATAACAAGCCTGCTGGTATTTGAGAAAATTGCAACCTGTTGTTAGCTTGTTGCATTTTTGAGTGGGGTTGAATCAACGCTTACGAGTTAATAGCGCGAAACTTGTTGCGCGTTAGTTGTCCGAAGTGACCACAATGGCAGTTTTCAAATTCTATTAATTTACCAAAATAATCATGCGTGAACATGTTTTTGAAGTTTTAGCTCATGATGTTATAAAATTTCAAGTTATTATAAAAATCTCAGTTTAAAACTGGCTAGTTAAAACTTATAAATATGTCTATAAACTCAGCGATCTTAAATAATCTATTTCGTAGGTTTTGTCCATCATATGTCAAAAAATAGTCATAAAATTTTGGTTGTTGTATAGAAAACGCCAAAAAATTTGCAAACGCTTTCTTTTCTTTAAAAACTAAGAGTTGCAACTTTCATGTCCGGAACTTTCGATCACTCTACAATCATCGTTGTTGCTTGGCATAAAACAAATTTCTCTGTCAAGAAAAATAAAAACAAAAAGCAACTCGCTCGGCTAAATTCATTAAAATTATAATTTTTTAAAATAGGGTTATTTGAGTAAAAGACATTTAAGAATTTTTAATTGGAAGAATTTTTCGCCAGATTTTCTAAACATGCGTGTTGAAGTGGCTGAACTGTATATGCAAATCATCAATTGCTTGAATCTTCTTCCATGCTATCATAGAATTGCATTTTAGAAAACTGAATTTTCAAATTGAAACATTTTTTGTTTCATTTAACCAGCTTTGTTCCAACTTGTCAACTTTGTTTCTTTCAAACTTGTCTAACAGAAACATTGATTGCTTAGTGAAATTGCTGCTTACATTTTAACCCAGCTAAAAAAAAACTAATTTTGTGCATGAAGGATCGTTTTTTGTGTGTTTACTGTTCCAATCCGATAAAACTATAATTTAAACACAATAGAACAAATGCTGTGCAAAAACCACAGATTGTTCTGACCACAATCATGGTTCAAAAAACAGTTTTTTTGTAAAAATTGACTCAGTTTTCTCAACTAGTCAATTTTAAAAATAAAAAAAACGTGGTTTCTTTCGACTGATATAGTTGGCTCATATCTACAAGAGGTATCATGATTGCTGTAGCCTACACACCTCAATTGATTGATGCCTTTTTCTCGTTCACGTGTTTGAGAAAACCTAATTTAAATGTTTCTGACCACCGGTGATAACAAATTTGTTTGAAAAGTTAGTAAAACATTATTTTAAAAAACAAAAACTAAAAAGCAGTCATTTATTAAAAGTTGCTCGAATTCTAAGAAAAACCCGTGCAGTGACAACAGCAATAAGCAGCTGCACAATATTTTGATTTTTAAATTAAAAGTTCAACAGTTTTGAATCATTACCCGTTGCCTTCCCTAGCAACACTTGGAAACAATTTATTATTGTTCCGACTTTCGTAACGAAAGTAACGGAATGTTTGTGCTCGGGTGTTTTTTTTTCTCGAATTTTCGATTTTTTAGGTAACATTTTTAGGTAACATTAAGACAAATTTCAATTTTTTAACTAACATATTTGACGCGTGTTGTCCTGAGCTTAAATTTGAAAAGATTTTTCAACTGTGATTGTTTTTCGTAAAATTATGGGGGTTTAAAGATTGCCATTTTGGCCATTTTGGGACAATTAACGCGTGATATAATTCGCGCTATTAACGCGTAAGCGGAGATTTAATCCTTCTTAGAAATCGTTCCAAATTGGTCGAAAGAAGCTTATTTGCCATAATTAATTTGTTGCTAGGAGCGAAGTTTGTACTTCATATGGCGTTTTGGGGGATGGATTTTACAAAAATTTTCAAATTAAAAAAAAATCATTTTATTTTTATTACATTCAATTTTTTCATGCTTTTACTGCTCCATAGACATTCAAAGGCAGTCAGAACATTGAGGGCTTCATTCTGATAAGAGAAGTCTTGTTATTATTACTTCCAAATAGGCAGAAATAGTTTCTTCAATCTGTGCTTCCAAAATGAAGCAAGTTGACCATAGCAATTCATTGATATTATTAGACAAGTTGCTTAGATGAAAAAAGTATATCTTGTTTCGATTTGATAAGTGTGCTAATCACATTCATGTTTGCTTAAAAGATCAAGCGAATACATCATGTGAATACATCAAGTGGTTTGATGTCTTGAATATTCAGTTCATCTGCTACATGAAAACTTCTCTATTATTAAAAAAAACTTCTTTTAAAATAAAAATTGCGGTTTTGCATCGTTTTTTAAGTGTCAAGGAAGTTAGTCAAGTAAGCTGCTTCTTGGTTGCAAATAATTTGAGAGAAAAATTTGTTTTAAATTCAAATTAAAACAATGATTTTTACCTAGGATTTTTTTGTTACGACCTTCTATTGCGCAGAAAAACAAATGTAAATTATTCATTTCTGACCAATTTATTTGCCCATTATATACAAATATCTTCAATCTTCATTGATCAAAACAGTTTCTAATTTACTCTGAGCTTGCACAGAAACTTGCAACCCTTGTTGCGATAGACTTTTCAAAAGTCTCCTAGTGATGCTAATACCACTGAAAATAATATCGACTTCCGCATTTCCGCTGCTTCAAAAAGGTTCAATATCGTTTTGAATGGTAATTTTATTTGAGGTGGGCATAGTTAATTACCCAATGAATGGATATCAGGAAAAGAAGAAATTAACTTGAGGTTCAAAAGAGTCACGTGAATGGGTTCAAGTTGCCTTTTAGCTCCGGTTTCATTTTTGAGCTCATTAAAGCGTGAATGCGACAAAAATTAGGGGTTTCTTTTTTCATTTTAACCTTTTTTTAACCTCATAAACTGATCCCCAGTTTTTGAGCATTTAAGGACTGACCCAATTTCAAATTAGTTGCTATGGTGATAATCTTTTTTTGAAAGCCTAAAATATCAAGGCGATCTCTTTTTGGAATCAAGCTCTTTAGTCATCGCAAAAATAATTTAGTAAGTCCGCATAACTTTGGGCAGTTTTTGAAAAATAAACTGAGAAGGATCCACCGTAAGATACGCGGCTTTAATTTTTTCTTCCATCATATAAAAAAAATTTGCCAATAACTTTGATACTTACTTTTCTTCAAATCGGATAAGAAAAAGGAAACTCATAGAGAATGAACATCGTAACTGCTCAAATGGAGAACAGCAAATCTTGTAAAAAATTTTGAAAAAAAAATAGTTTCTTATTTTTCATGCTCCAGTGTCACTTTGCACCTGAAGAGTACATCATCAGGGAGAATGCGTACGGGGAGACATTCTACATAATCAGACAGGGCAAGGTCAAGGTCATGCAGACACACCCCCAGACTGGACTCCCAGTCCTCATCAGACACTTGCAGAAGGGGGACTATTTTGGGGAGAAAGCACTCGTGTGGTCAGTTAATTGATTTAAAAAACTACTTCTCATAGGTTCGAATCCTGTCGGAATCCTATGAGTCTGCAAAGAAATTCAGAACTTCTACATAAAAGTTAATTGATTGTAACGAAACTCAAATCTGAATGTGTAGTCTAGAGTTTGTAAGTATTAGTCTATTCAGACCACGGATCGAATACTGTTAGGCCAAGTAGTTTTGTGATAACCAATGGTGCCTGCTGATTTGTCCAACTTTTTAAATGAAAATGGTCTTATAATTGATTCGATAGGATGTTTTTAAAAAAATTGGATTGCGCTCCCCTCGAAGTGGTCAGTATAATTGATGCCAAATGAACTTTTTAAAAATTATACTGTTCGGTCGGCTGAGAGTTGGTATATTCAAATACAGGCAAGTAGAGAAGCCAACCTCCCCCCCCCCCCTCCCCGTATAATAAAGAAGTGATCAGTTAAGCATATATAAATTTTGTAATGAATCCCCCCTTTGCCCTTTGCAAAAGGGAGAAAAAGGTTAACAAGACCCGACATTCGTTATACCACCCACTTAGATGGGACCCATTTTGAGATTTTAGTTTTGCAATGAGCTATTGCAAATTCGGCTTTGAGGAGGTCTTATAGCAGCAAGTTTTTTGAGATAGCTGCCAGTTTTACATTTTACTTTTTTTTGTAAAATGTACACATTTTTTGAGATAGTATACACTTTTTCATGATACTTTATACTCAAAAGCGTAGTGTTTAAGATAGCTGCGAGTTTTATCTTCAAACTGACTGCTCACCAAAGATTGTCAAATCCTATATTTCCCAGCAAGGGGAAAAGCGGATTCTCAAAGAGCGTTTAATCTGCAAATATGCAAAACTCTAATCTAATCCTTGCGAGTTCATTTGGAGCAATTACTGGAAGCATTTTCCGCTTTTCATTTTTTTCATGTACTGATTTTTTCATGTACTGATTTTTCAATATATTCTGATAAACTTAAAAAGCTTTTCAATATATTCTGCTAAAAACCCAGCTAATTTAAAAACGTGTTTTAATGTTTTAGTGCTTTAAGCTATGGGTCGTTCCTCTTGAATAAATTTACCCTTCTGTTTTTACTTAGTAAAACAAATCCTCTCTTTTTCAATGAGAGGAGGCAAAAACAGGGACTGAGGGCGTTTTTTTAATCTCAATTTCGGTTCGATTTATCGTGTTTAAAATCAGCTATTTTTGCCCTCTTTAAATTCAGTAGATTTAAATTCGACCTTATGCAAATTTTTTTTTGGGTTGTTCTACGAAATTGTTCTCAATTAGTTTCTCCTTTTTATCAATTGATCTAATTTGGAAGCTCTTCAAATATGGTTGCTCAGATTAAATCAGCAAAATGCGCGAAGTGTCAAATCAAATACGGGGCAATAAGTTTGAATGAAATTCAATTTAACGAACCCTACTTGGGTGATTTTTTTCAATGATCAGAAGTAAATGTGTTCGTAATTTCGATATTAATGAAAGCACTTGTTCCTAATTAATGTCCGAGCACCCAATGAGAAGACGGGCAATATTCTTATCACTTACTTCATTGAATGAAGTTGTGATTTGAGCTGCTTTTCTCACATCGAAGAGCCTACACGTGCATGTATAAAAACGACTCAGAGAAAAAAAAGAAGTTAAATTTTTTGTTTTTGTTTCAGCGAAGACAGAAGAACCGCCTCAATCATCACAGAAACAGAAGTCGAATGTGTGCAAATTGACAGAAGGTTCGAACTTATTGCAAATTTTCTAGCATGAAAAAGTATTTTTTAGAATAAATTAGGGGCTGAAATTTATGAAAACTTTGTTGTTTTCACGCAAAATCGTTAACTTGAAAAAGACATTATAGCTACAGATCATTCATGCACAAGAATTTTTCGAACTTCGATTCTTTGAATTAAAAGACGAGTGTCTAGAACAGTTTGTCAGTGTTTTTAATTCAGTTTTTTGACCTCGATTAAAGGTCAATCGCGCTTGATTAGCGGTAGAAATCTTAAGCACATGCTGGCCCTACCCTTCACGTCAACAGAAGTTATGATTCCTTCTATGTTTGATTATACTATTTCAGCAACTTCATTGAGCTTATTGGACCCTTGCAGGAGATCAAGAACAAGAAGTACAGTGACACCCGGAACGTGGACTTATCCACCAGGGATGACGTCGCCTTCCCGGAGGAGTTCCAGAATGTGAAGATGGGAGACCTGTTCCACATCGGAACCATCGGACAAGGCGGCTTCGGAAGGGTCGACTTGGTCAGTATTTTTTTATTAGTTATCGTTTTTATTCGAAATTTATTGTTTCGGACTTTCGAAGAGGAAAAAATTAACTATAAAGCTATTTTTTTCGGCGCTCGGTTTGACGCATAAAATCGATATGGTTTTTTAATCTTTGAGTTAAAGATTTTCCTCCTATTTGTTTTTCGCGTCCTTTTTTGCTTAAAGTTATAAGTTATACCATAAAACTGATGTTTGCTTTGAGGCATTTAGTGAAAGTAGCTTCATTACCGCGAGGTTGCTTTTAAATATCAATCTGAAACCCATCCTTTTTTGAGTGACCGCTATGCTGGTTCCAAGGGTCCCAAAACAGAATCATTTTACTTATAAGGATGTTAAAAATATTACTGAGAGCGTCCTAATTACAGAACCCTTCACTTATACTTAAAATAATTTTGACAATAATTAGCTTTGATTTCAGCCAACCGTTTTCCCTTATCTGGGTAAGAGAAAATTTCTCGGCTTCTATTACTTTCGAGTGCCATCAATCATTCATTTGAGGCCACGTGTTTCAAGTAGGTTTTTTTTTTAGAATTTTATACAAAATGGCTGTCTTTAAATTGTTGTAACTTTCTTATCGGCCCTGACTTGTCATAGTTTGTTGGCTGGCTCTGAAATTTTATAAGACACAACCGTCATTTAACATCTCCGTAGTGATATAAATATGTCACGATACCAGTTAGTTTCCATAAAATTAACGGAATATATACACGGTCTAGTTTTTCATCAGGTTTTCTTATAGCCATAAGAAATACTTTCTTTTGCAGACTTTTTCATACAGTGAAAAGGATAGCCGGTTAATGTGCAAGCAGCAGAGAATATTCTGACCATGCTAAAAAAACACTTAAAAAATTTTTCCATGATTTTTTTTCAGTGTTGATTTTTGTGAGTCGTGTGATATAAAAAATCGGACAAAAAGATAGAATTGAGGCATATTCGACAGTATCAGTAAAAGAACCAAATCGGAAACGGTTTTAGTTGAAAAATTACCAGAAAAAATATTTCTAAGTTTTGCTAAGTTTTTTTCCTATGATAGCACTAAAATTTTTGAAAATTATTTTCATTGGAGTTAAATTAAATTTTCTTGGCTTATCTTTCTAAAAAAAGCCTGCTTGCTTGGCCTTATTAAAAATGTATTGTTCCGACTTTCGAAGAAAGTGACGGAATATTTGTCAATGGAATTTTTTTCTCCAGACAAATTTCGACTTTATAACTAGCGATTTTTGACAAGATTTGTTTTTATCATCTGAAAGATGTTGATGCCGTGAAATCACTTTTGAAAAAATTACTTGTGGTTGTTTTTGTAAAAATATCAGAGTTTGAAAACAGCCCATTTGGCCTTTTTAGGATAAAAAAGAGCGTGACATTTTTTGTGATATAAGCGTTAGCGGCAAAATAAATAGCTCCAAATTGAATTGAGGCAAAAGATATGCTCTTAGTATTGCGTTTCCAGTCTTAAAATGCGCCACTTTGTGCTTCACTTAGCGTGAGAGGTAATAAATTGAAGAAAAATGCATCGATTATTAACAAAAGCAAACATTTTTATTGATCCTATAAACGGCAGTCAGAACATTCTGAGCTTTGCGCTGATACGAGCAGTCTAGTTGCACTTGTATTTGTTTTTTTTTATTTTGGAGGTTTATAATGGGCTATTCTGGTCAAGATGGGATGGTTAATTTGCGTGAGATCAATTTTCTAAAAATACGTGAAAAATGTGACTGCTAATCTGGCTCAGAAATCAGTTCGAAGTAAATCGGGGCTCCCTAACTGATTCTGTTGAAATTTAGGCACATGAAAAAATGTATCTGTGTGTAGTTTGCTATGTGGATGGAAGAAAGTTACTAAATCTTATTAGTTCGAATTTTTTTTTATAAACTATCATTTTTCTGTTTTTCTGGACAATTTTTGTCGTGCTATTCAGCTTGCTCGTATGAATAGCGCGTACGCAGCTTTTTAGTTTCGCGGTAAGCATGAGAAAGTATAACAAGACTGCTCGTATCAGGGCAAAGCCTTGAATGTTCCCACTGCCTTTTAAGGTTTATGGAGCAGAAGTAATAACATAAAAAAACTAAATGAAATAAAACAAAATGAAATTATTTTTTTTCTAAAATTTGAAAATTTCTATGAAAATCACCCCCCACACGCCATATAAAATACAAAAAGATGAATTTCGTTCCTTAAAACAAATCAATTATGGCGAATAAGCTTCGTTCAACCAATTTGGAACGATTTATAGTTGCGTTAATAGTGCGAATTATATCGCGCGTTAATTGTCCCAAATTGGTCAAAAAGGCCAAAATGGCAATATTTAAACTCTCATAACTTTACGAAAAAAGATCACAGGTGAAATATCTTTTCCAATTTAAGCTCAAGATAACAATACCTTTTGAATGATAAAAAAAATTCCGTCAAAATGGCTAGTTAAAAAGTCGAAATTTGTCTGAAGGAAAAAAACCCACCCCGAGCACAAATATTCCGTTACTTTCGTATCGAAAGTCGGAACAATAAAGCGAATCAATTGGTCAATCAGTATCATTAGCGAGTCAATCACTATCATTAGAGTTCAATGCTAAGCAAAACACGACAGCTTGTATCAGGGCAAAACCTAAATTTCCGAATGCGTTCTATTGTCAATCCAAAGATATTTGGCTTAAGAAATGAGAAAGTTTTAAATTATTTTCAAATTATTTTTCTGATTTTTAACCCTATTAGCTACATGAAGTTCCAAGTAGAATATTTGGCGGTACTAACGTACTATTAAGAGCGAATTGCTGCAGCCGATCAGTTTGAAAGTAATTGTTTGTTATTAACGCTTCAAGAGAACGAAACATACCACGCATTAGTTATCTCAATTTGAATTATTGTTGTCCTAGTAGTCCCAAATTCAAATCATTAAAATTTTAATTATGCAAAATTATCACAGATATAATATGTTATTTATCCTTTGATTGCAGTGCAATAAAAAAATTTGATAACAAATTTTTTTTAAATTTGCATAAATTAAACATTCCGCAACAAAATGTTCCAGCTATCAACAATTTTGTATCAATTGCTAAATCTTATTTTTTACCGTCCATAAACGGGACTGATTTAGCTTTGGCTCTGAAGTTTATGGAAAATTTTCAGGAGAAATAAAAACAAATTTTGATGAAAAGTTTACCCTACACGCAATTTATATACAAAGAATTTAGCTTCAGATACGATAAATTTGAACTAATTGTTCGGCATATTCAATTTGAAATCTCCTGAGTTGGATTCAGTTGCAGCGTACGCGTTGTTGAAAGTTTCAGCAAGTCTAGCGTCTTAGTTTAGACAAATGCTAAATTTTCAAACTCGGTAATTGAGAAAAAATAATAATTTTACGCGAGTACCATAAATTTATGCGCGTACTGCACAAGTTTTTTTTAGCGATTACATGAGTTTCATACATTTTATCAATGTGCCTTCATTGCTAATTGAAATTTATTCTTGTAGTGCGTTTTAACTGCACAATAGACAGCATTGCGACATAGCGCGATTGCGAAATCAACTGTGTTGTATTCGAGCATTCAGTGCAAAAGCGGGTTCGAATCCTGTACTCAACTAATTAATTTTTTTAGTCATTTTTCATTATTTTTGTCATTTTTTCGTGATTTTTAATTGTCACTTCTTTTGTGAATTCGTTTTCCTCATATATATTCGTCATTTACTTCAAAATTCGGAACAATCATAACAATTAGTGACAGATTATGATGAAAGTAGGGCCCGAGTTTCAACAAGATGGCAAGATTTATGCAGAGAAAAATGCGTGAATGGCAAAATCAATATGCTTCTAATGATGTCTTCAAATTTCTCCTTGTTGACTGTGATTAGGTGAAACACGTGGGAAGGGATGGGAAGGCACACAGCTATGCTCTGAAGTGTCTGAGGAAACAGCACATTGTGGAGTTGAAGCAGCAGGACCACATCTACTCGGAGAAGACCATCCTACTTCAATCAGACTGTCCCTTCATCATCAAGTTAGTACTGCAGTGCTTGCACAGTCATAGTCAATCATAACAATCACAGCGGTTTGATTTTTGGGCTCTTTTTCCTTTTTCCCCCACCTCACACGAGCTTCAATATATTAGTGTAACGAGTGGTTTTACGAGGTTGAGTATGACGACCAAATATGTTTGTCGTGGCCTTATTAGTCTGTATGTAAATTTTCATAACAATCGGACAATGTGGTCAACAAATTTACATGATAAAATTCGCAGGTGGGGGGGGGGGGGGGAGGAAAAAGAGCCGATTTTTGATTTCTGTGTGAGTTTCGAAATTGAATTTAATTTTCAGTTTTTAGATAATGTTTTGTTCATTATCAGTTAACAAACTGAATTTAAGACAAATCTTATTAGGTTTAAATGTTTCAACTTTTGACAGTCCAACTGTACTTGTCTTCGGGTGTAATTCAGAAGGTGTAATTTTTCAACCTTGATTTGAACGATGTTAACAGAATTTTTGTGAAAAAATTTATGCTTATTAGTTTAATTTCGAGCGGGTTAAACGAGCTTGTAGGTGGTATGATAAAAAATTATATAAGACCAAAAAACCTACTTTGACGCTTCATTTAGCGCTATCTTGGTTTTATAAAAGAAGCTTTCTGGGCCTTAAAAGTTTAAAAAATAATCTGAAAGTAGAAAAAGTTTTTTTTTCAATTGATTGTTTGAAGACAATGATAGTCGATTATGCCTAATTTACTAGATTTCTAAGCCTTCGTCTAGTTCTTCTCAACACATCACGCCATTTGAGGACGCCATTTGAATTATCTTTCCAAAATATAATAGAAAAAAAAACATTTTTTTTTCAAAAATGTCGAAAAGTTATCAACTTTTTTTCGAAAGATTTTTGAAAAACAACAATCTTTCGAAAAAAAGTTGATAACTTTTTGACATTTTTGAAAAAAAAAATGTTTTTTTTTCTATTATATTTTGGAAAGATAGCATAGAGATGATAAATCCGCAGCTTGTAGCGTTTGTTAAAACATCAATCAACTGCTCAAATTTTTTTATGTGAAAAATTGTTTAATGTTGAAATGAGGAATCAGTTTTTTCTCAAAAGAAATTTAGACCTGTTATATTATATTTCAGACCTGTTTTTCTCAACTCTGAGAAAATGTTTTTGGGTTTATTTTGGGACCCAAATCACCCATAGAGCTTTAATATGATGCCAGCTTGACCCCCTACAAGGTTATCTTGATTCTGTCAAAATTGGGAGGAAATACAACTCTAGTCTACGCCTTAGTTCCTTCCAGTCACTTTCAGTGAAATCGGAACAAATACAACTCCCACGCACTTACTCTTGATTGATTGGTATATTGAGTAGAGAACGATCACCTCTTGAACTTTGTCGATCGAGGTGAAATTGTCCAGTTAACTGACTGAACTGATTCAGCGCTGAACATCAAAATCCCTCCACGCATCTGCGATCATGAGCAATGTTTTTTCTTTGTTTATCCGACTTTATTGATCTAATTTCATCCTAATTACATACAATTTAATTAAAAGAAATTTTTGGTTAACGGCAGAAAAGAAATACATTCATTGACCAAGAGACCATAAACTATTAAGTTTTCGATCAATCATTCCTTAACCTTCACCTAAATTTTTAATTTCCCTTTTGTACTATTTGTAGAAATACAATCTTTTTCTCTCATTTTTCCGAAAGACTTCTAGTGCAAAATGGTTGAAACTCAAAGGCGTATTCATTTCCGACATTTTTTCCTGCCAGAGAACCATAGAAATTTTCTCCAAATCTGCAGTCTTAAGTTTTACAAACAAAACGGTTTAATTAATGATGGAACGAAACGATTTCATGTGCTTAAAAAACCACCAAAAGTTTTCGTTGGACATCGCATGTTATCTGAGTGTTCAGTTCACGTAGTTCTGTAAGTACGGCACTCTTCTTGATTGTGCTCTTCAACTAGTTTTATCTTTTGTTTTCTTATTTTTTTTAGACTGTACCGCACGTTCAAAGACAGGAAGTACGTGTACATGCTCATGGAGGTCTGTTTGGGAGGAGAGTTATGGACACACATGAATCACAGGTGAACATCTGCAAAGAATAATAATGAGATCTCTTTGAGTAATCTTCCCCTTTTCTTGGGGGGAGGGGTAGATAATCATTATTAGGTACAATTTTCACATATGCTTAAATGTTTAATTAGTTCTCCTATATGGCTGACAGTTTGTGTCTAGGAATGAAAAAGGGAATAGTAAAAGAGATCCAAATAATAAAAAAATATTACTTTTAAGATGACCAAAATGTCTTACAACAAAAATTAATATATTTGCCAATTTTAATTACATTTGGACCACCGCTTCAACAATAGTTCAAACAGTAAAACACGATGGCGAATAGAAACGGCCCCACTCAGGTATTCGACCCCCTAACCAACCAAAGGGTCTCCACTTTGGCATGATTTTACGACATGCATTTTTGGCAACCAACCCTAAAATTTTTCTAAAGGCGCTTTCGGCTCCAAACTAAACTATACTCATAATGGAGGGAAGCTTGCGCCAAAAAACGCGACTATTCGGTCAAAAATTTTCTTAACTGTTTTTTTACTTTTTTTTTTCAAAACTTTGGCCAGGGAGCAAAATTTTTTTCAAAATAGGTCTTAATATTGTTCTGGGAGCGCGTGGGAAACCAAGACTGAGTCAATACTTTTTGGAGAAAACATGAAAATGAGAAATATTGAAAATCTTTAGGAAAACAAGTAGCCGGTAGTGCATTATCTATTAAACAAATTCTTTAAAAACAAGAAGAGTTTTTTGAGAAGCAGTTATCTATAAAGTTCTTTTATTGTTAATTAACTGAAGCCACCAAATTTTATATCAAATCCTAGATTCGCAATTGTAAAACTGTTGCATCTATATTTTTTGTTTCGTCTTTCAAGAAGAACTTCATATTTTTGCTCGGGGTTTTTTTCAATCAGTTTTCGAATTTTTAATTAAGCGTTTTTGACGGAAATTTTTATTTACCTTTATATTTTGTTTTCATATACGTTTTTTAAATCGTATTTCATAGAACAAGATATTATTGCTCGGAGGTCATTTGTAAAAAAAATCTTGTAAATTATGACGGTTTGAAAATTGCTAATTTGGTCGATTACTGATAACTATTGCGTGATATATTAAGTTTTTATGACTCGAGTGAGTGGCGCGTTAAATAATTCTAAATTGAATTGAGAAAAATGACGTGGTCATTTTTCTTGCTACAAAACGGTAATTTTGTCCCTTTGTATTTTACGTAGCGTGTCGGAGAATAAAACGAAGAAAAACTTCAACCAAAAGAGTTTTTTTTCGATATATCAATTTTGTAAACAAGAACAATTAATATGTTTTACCTTGCAGACGGAACATCCAGGGCATCGCCCTGATATACGCGCAGTCATGATTGTATTTTGCTGATTTTTTAATCCAATTTTTGGTGAAACTAAGGTCTATATATGCCTGGCGTGGTTTTTTGTATTCTGACCAATTTCAAAAATATACCTTGAGGACCCTGCGGATCGATCCGGGAATGGTGGGTTGCCGAGCATCTGTGCTTGCCAAAAGCCTAAATCCAGCTAGGGTTGCTCGATTAATACTTGATAGTTTCAATGCGCAAATTATCTATGTGTGTCGAATTAACCCGCACCATTACCGTTCCAAACTGAATTGAGGCCAATTAATTAGCCATATTTTTTCTGCTCACAATTTAGCACACAGTATAATTGATATTGGCAGTCCAAAATTTATAGTTTATCATTTTTTAAAGAAAAATTAATTAAGACTAGTTACGCGGCAGTCGGATCTTTCAGGGCTTTGCCTTGATATATGAGCAGTCCTTTTTTCAGTCTTAGAAAAGTTAACTAGAGGCCAAAACACTGTGTATATGTAGCATAGAGTTTTTCGATACACTAGCCACTTTTTCAAAAACTAAGAAATAGGCAGAAAAATTCAGAAAAACACAAAAAAGGAAAACAAATCTCAAAAAAACAGGATTAGATCCGTTTTGTTATCACTATTGGTGGTGTCAACTTATAAGTAAATTGAAAAAAAAAAAACATTAAAATTTGTTTCTGAATAAGCTTTATATTTCATAAACTTTTAATGGGCTTTTACTTAACAAGCGTTTGCAAGACTATTTTTCTTTTCTTAAAGAGATTCATTATTTTTCTGATTAGCCGAAGAGCATCTTACAAACATTTTTTAAGGTAAAACATATCACAGACAGAATTGACCAAATCAGCTCTATCTAGAAAACAAAATGCACCTCTGATTCTTATTCGAATTTTGCACAAGTTTCAACATAGCTGCTAGACGCACTCAAAAAGGCAATTTGTTGGGAAGTTTGACAGGAAATGATCTCGAGGGAGTTTCTGCTCGTTTTAATTTTGTTTATTCTGAAGGCGCCGATGTTCTGACAGAAACATTAAAAAGACTCTCATTCAATTTCCCGCCCCTCGTAAAAATTAGAAATTGAAGTTGTCTAAAATGAAAAGTCTACAAACTTTTCAGGTTGACGTTTATTTATTATAGTTCCAGCATAGTGAAAATTTAAGCTAGTAAAAACTAGAAATGAGAGAATGGTAAAACAAACACAAAAATACGTTCTTATTTCTGCTTTTTACTGAGATGTTTTTTTTTTGTAACAGGAGGTAAATGTTGGACAATTTATAAACCTTGTACTTAATTTTACGGTTGCTGATTCCTTTTTATGACATGTCATGCTTCGTTAAACAAGTTATAAATCATTCGGGGATAATTTAAAAGGAATGAAGCTGATTTCCGTCTTATGTTCACCATATATTAATGCTATTAGTGCATGAACTGATTAAGTATATTGGTGTTTTGAGGATAAGAAAAGAAGGGTATATTTTGGAATTCGGATGAACCTTTTGGACTATTTAGAATAGGTTTATGAAAACAACAAAAATTGATCCAATACTGAAGCAATTAAAAATTAATTCAGGTAACCCGCACTGGAATTTCATGGAAAATAATGGATTTTAATAGATTATATCGGCAAAAAACTTAACCAATATAAACGATTTTTATGACCCATCTATGAAAACTATGCGCGGATATCTCAAAATAGTGCAATGGGGGGACCCTTTGGGTCGGCAGGGGGTCGAATCCCTGAGGGAGGGGAGGCGTCCCCCCCCCCCCAAATCCGCCCTTATTCAATTAATTTTTATGCCTTTGATGCGTCATAACTGCTTCTGAAGTGCACGCTAGTTTCTCAATATAGTAATTTTCAATCTCTACAAATTGAACCTTGTGGAAGTTATCAAATGTTTCTTTATAGTTTTAAATCTTTTCAATTAGTTTTCTGATATGAAAGTCAAAACTATTTTTTTCGCCCAAAAACACCTTCAAAAATTTACAGTTTCAAATTTATTCTAACTTTTAGGCAATACGGCGTTAAAATGCCACATAATTTGTCCAATATGACAAATTTTAAATCGACAAATTTATTGAAAAACAATTGCAGATAAAATGTCTTTCCGATTTTGATACCAGCACATAGAGATGTAAAATAGGATAATAAAAAAAATCGTCAAAAATGTTATCAGAAATAGTCCCGAAAAAAAATATTAAAATGGTTGATAATGAAAAAACGAACTTAACTAAATAACATGTTTTTTATTGAAGAAAATAAGGAATTTGGAGGTGTTTCGGTTAGTTTCTTCAATTGATGCCGCCGCGTGATGAACATGAGAAGTTGGCTGAGCTTTATTCTTTTCAGATTGTACCTGCCCGACAATTGCGCCAAGTTCTCGGTGGCGTGTGTGGTTCTGGCATTCGAGTATCTACATGCCAGAGGCATTATCTACAGAGATTTGAAACCAGAGAATCTTTTGCTGTCGAGCAACGGATACGTCAAAATGGTATGACCTTTTTTTTTCTTTCAAAAACCGCGAGTGTTGTTACTGATATGTGTTTTTCTCTAAAACTATTTTAAAAAATTTGTAGACAATGGGGAAAAATTTATGCAAGTCTTTCAAATCTTCCGGTAGAGATTGATCATTCTCTGCAAAAAATGCAATTTATTTAAGCTGGAAACAAAGTTTTCATTTGAAAAAGCCATGAAATTGAATTGAATTATGTTGTTCTACAACAGTCAGTTTTGATTAATTGTTATAACTTTTTCCTTGCAGTGTGACTTTGGTTTTGCAAAGAAGATCGGCCCCCACTCTAAAACATGGACTTTCTGTGGAACCCCCGAGTACACTGCGCCCGAGATTATCCTCAACAAAGGACACGACTTCGCAGCCGACTACTGGGCACTCGGAATACTGGTATACGAACTGCTCAACGGCATGTAAGACAAATCTCAAGGATGGTCTAATGGCTTTCAACTGTTTTTTTTTCAACAGAAGACGTAATTTTTTTTCTACTCTAACCAATGAAACTGAGGCAAATTTGGGCTCTGTATTATACTTAACCAGAATTTTCTCAGTAAGTAATTTCAAAAAGTTTTTTTGGTCAACCCAATTGAGTTTTCGAGCCCTGTTAAATTTTTTTGCGCTGCAGGCAAACCTCTGTTGACACGGGCAAAAAAATGGAACATTTTTGAGCACATTTTGGAAACATTTGACTAAAATATGAAAAATATAACATTGACTAAAATATGAAATATATTGGGGCCGAACGCGCCCATAAAAAGAAATCACGGTCAGTCGGTTTTCCCGTTTTTTCAGTGGTTTTTCAGATTTATTTTTCAGACTTAAATTTTCACACTGAACTTCGAATCTAAATTTTCTGAATTATTTAATGTTTTATCTACTAATACTTGAATACTTGACTTAAATGGCTCATTACCTCATGCAATCCCTTCTCGCTCTAAAAAAAAACCAGTTGGTTTAAAATGGGTTAGTTTCATCAAACAGCTATCATTAAAAAATTGATCTGAGAACTCAATCCTGGTTTTATCCTGGTATACTTTTTCTTCGAAACTTTTCAAGTTGAAAAATGTTCCAAAAGTTTCAATCCGTTTTTTCGGTTTTCTTGTTCTTTTCCACTTTTACAGCCTTCTGTTGGCTATATTTAAATTCGCGTTTTTGACGTGCTAATAATTCAGTTTATTCAAAGACAAAGACAAGATACAAATGACCTACTGAATTAGGCTGACCTCTTTTTCATCAGTTGGTTACCAATAACCCAACACATCCATTTTTTCCCGCTTTTTGTTAATTATTTCCTGCACGGGAAGTAAGAATATATTTTTATCTGCTTTTTGCTGTCGAAAGGATTTGTTCACATCAGCCTAGTAATGAAAATGCTCTTTCTAAATAGGATATTTGTCAAAATGAAAGGATTCCTTAGAAATATATCTTAGTAATTATAGCAGGATAGATAAGTTACTTTTGTTCAGCCCGCCTTTCACCGGAGGAGATGCTATGAAGACATACTCTATGATCCTCAAAGGGGTTGACGTGCTAGACCTACCTACAAAACGCATGCACAAGAACTCAGTCAACTTCTTGAGAAAATGTTGCAAGACCAACCCCTCAGAGCGACTAGGATATCAAAAGAACGGCATTTTAGACATCAAGAAACACAAGTGGTTCGAGAGCTTCGACTGGAACGGATTAAGTCATCGCACTATGAATTCACCATTTAAAATAAAGGTTAGACTTCAATAAACCTGACTGAATTTGTGCATAAACCTTTCTTCTATTCTTATAAATGTGAAGCTATCTGATCGCATTGCATTTGGGAATCAAAACGGGAAAAACCCTGTTTCAATTTTTGACTTCCAACCTTTTACGCAGGTTGAGGTGTTGCAAAATACATTCGCACCAATGAACAGGGGCGGATTTAGGTTTTTCTCGAGGGGGGAACTTTCAAAAACTTTTCGAACATTTCGTCGACCTTTTTTTAGGTCGACCCAATTGATTTTCCGAACTCTTCCAAATTACTATAAATACCCTATTTTAACACCAAAATTTCTACGACTTTGAGTCTTTAAGTAGCCAGGAAGTCGATTCCCAAAACAAACGCGATTGCACCCCCCCCCCCCCCCCCCCCCCCAAAAAAAAAAAAAAACTCCGCTACTGCCCATAAGTGTTGTTCAATATTGCGTGAAGCTTTTTTGAGAGAATTTTCTTTAATCGACCTTTAAAGCAAATATAGATATTTGGTATCTGACTTTAAATTGTTTCTCTGACCAATGAAATTGGGGTGAAATTTTTGTCTTCGTGTGTGTTTTAAATTTTTTTTTAGAGTCACTGGATGTAGTCTTAGTGAACTTTTTTCGTTCATTTTTTTCAGGACAATAAAATACTCTAATAAATACAGATGGGCATTCATACATATTAATGCATTCATCTGCGAAAAGTTGGCTAAATTGCAATTTCTAAATGCAAACGTGGAATTGGCTCAAACAGGATGAACAACTTCTAGTTTCAAAAATAGATTTTAAGTTTTAGGCTTCCCAGCAAAGTCAAAACTGACTGATCCAGTTTTGTCAAACTGACTTCATTTTATTAAAAATGTATCGGTAATAAATTCGTATTGAAATTTAAGCCGCATTGAAGTCATATAATTTTAAATGTCGAGGAACGTAATAAAGACTCTTATGTAGGTCGTGTTGATTTCTTGTTTATTTTTTTTCAAGAAAAGTTAGGGAAAAGCTCTAATACTGACCTATTGATCCAGTTTGTTTTTTCAAATTGAGTAAATTTTAATCACAATTTTGTCTTGAAACACAAAGAAAAAAATGCTATACGTTGTTACTTTGAAATTCAAAAATTGAAGCTTTTTTCAAAAAGAAATCAGTTTTTTTCAGTTTCTTTGTGGTTCTTGAAATGGGTTGTGACAGATTTTTTACAATTTTGTCTTGAAACACAAAGAAAAAAATGTTATACTTTTTTCACTTTAAAATTTCACAGTTGAAGCTTTTTTCAAAATTGAATCATTTTTTTTGTTTCCTTATGTTCATTGAAATGGATCGAGTGATAGCCTTTTCAGTCTTGATTCGAGCGATGTAATGAGTGTCTTGAAAAACTGACCTGAATTTTTAAAGTTTCAGTCTATTTCGAAACAGTTTTGGCCTATTTTCCTCGCAACGTGAAAGCACATCATATAATACGTATATTCGTCAAATTACTTTAATTCGACAAGAGGTATTTTCAGGTTTCAGTCAATGAATTTATTATAAAACTTTTAAAGTTTTAATTCAAAAATAGGTATATTCGACAAGTTTTCTTCGAAAAAAAATGTCTTAAAAAAACGGAAGAAGGTGCTGAAAGTAGTTAATTTAGGGCACTGCTAACTTCACTGGAGTAAAAATAAACTTTTATAGCTCACCTTGAATCCAAATAATATGACTAATATACTTATCACAAGACGTTTTTTCACGCTGCTTCGAAAATAGACCGAAACTGTTTCGAAAAGTGACTAAAACTCACATAATTGTCTATGTTTTATACCTGAATTTTTCAATTTTTAGGTCTGTTTTTGAAACAATTTTGGTCTTTTTTGAAGCAGCGTGAAAGCACGTCATATAATAGGTATATTATTCATATTTTTTAATTGAAGGTGATTTTAAAAAAATTAATTTTACTTCAGTGAAATTAATAGTGCCGTCATTTAACTATTTTCAGCACCTTCATCCATCTTTTTAAGACATTTTCTGTTAATGTTTCGAAGAAAACTTGTCGAATTTACCGACTTTACTTTTTCTGTTGAATCATCTGTCTAAAAATAAGGTTTTCCTTGAGAATCTTCTTCCATCACCTCACGAACAAAAACAGTTGTTATTGTCGTCGGAACTTTCTGTGCTACTTGTACACCTACCAGCTATCCATGTTTTTTTGCCATAGATTTTGTTGCCCGAAAAAGTTTCTTCACGGTTAATTAGAAAACTATAGACTCAAATGGAATAAAGGCACAAAAAGTTAAGAACGATTTTTTTTGAAAGACTGGAACTTTGAAAATGAAAGGGCTTCTCGCGAAAACGTTCAGTGGCTTAAACAGAATAACGTTGACTTGATCAAATTTTTTCAAAAAAAAATTCGAGAGATATTAAGAAGACAATTACACTCATGTCGGATTAAAATTTTAAACGTTTGGTCAATCGTTTAACGTGCAAAGTGCCTGAAGTAGCTTTGAGAAATCAATTGAAAAATTTTCAGAAACAAGCAAAAGTTATTTTTCCTATCTCAATCACAAAATTGTAAATATTTGTCTCATAATTATGATGTTTGTATGTTCAGCTTGCCTTAAATTTGTTTGAAATGATTTCTGAGCCCTGTTATCTCATCACTACGGTACTCGTTATAACTACTCTGGAAACTTTGTACGCCTGCATCATAATAATTAGACGGTTTCGAAACCCTCATGATTTTTAGAACAACTGCTTTGAAAATTTTTAACGTTAAGAATGGGGCTTCCATAGCTTCCAGTTGCAAAATTTCTCAAAAACTCGTTAATTTTTTGTTGTTTTTAGCAAAGTCGGAAAAAAGATAGCCTGTTGTGTCGTTTTTTTATCGTTTTGTTGTAAGTCTTTGTTGTTTTTTGGCATCGTGTAAAAAAACTGTCTCAATTTCAAATATCAGGAACTAATTGCTTAAAACGTTTAAGTAAATGTGTGATTTTAGTGGCAAAACTAATTTCCTCATTTTTTTTCAAACTGTTTGCTCTAAAGTCAGCCAAAAAATTTCACGGTTGACACAATTTGACACTAAAAAACCAAAATATTAAAAATTGATACTTTTAAGCTGAAATACTTGAACAATGGCACATTCAACAAAATGCAATTTAATTTTCTGGCATCAACTATTTATTTTGAAATCCCAAATACTTAACAAATCTATCTTGTGAAAGCTTGTTCGATCCCTTGAAAAAACGTTTTGTAACAAAAATAATAAACTTCTCTGCTGAAAAAAAAATTTACAATGATGTGCTAATCTAATTTTTGAAGTTTTCTGTGAGAAATGGTCTATTTCTTTTTGTTCCGATTTTTTAACGAAAATAACGTGCTCGGGGTGGTTTTTGTTTCTTCAGACAAACTTCGACTTTTTCACTAGCACTTTTTGATGGAGTTTAAAAGATCATTCAAAAGGTATTGTTGCCTTGAGCTTAAATTTGAAAAAATATTTTATCTGTGATTATTTTTCGGAAACTTACGAGGATTTAACGATTACCATTTTAGCCAATTCGAGACAATTAATGTGCGATATTTTTCACGCTATTAACGTATAAGCGGAGATTTAACCCGTGTTAGAAATCGTTCCAAATTGGTTCAAAGAAGTTTTTTCCTATTGATTTGTTACTAGAAGCAAAACCTGTCACTTTGTAATTTACATGGCGTGTGGGGGATGATTTTAACAAAAAATCTCAATTATTTAAAAAATTCGTTTTCTGTTTTTTACATTTAAGTGTCTCATGCTATTACTGCTCCATGGACCTTAAAAGGCAGTCGGGACATTAAGGAATTCGCCCTGATACGATCAGTCTAGTCTAACATTAAAAAATAATTAGTTTCTAGATAAATCTAAACGACTGGTTGATTTACAATTGCGGCGTATTTTGATCTGCTTAGTTGCTGTATTTGACTTAATTTTGTTTCATTTTTTGTTATACTATTCTACGATATCAATTTCTGGCTGACTAACTATTTATGTCTTTTAAAAGCGCGTTTGGCGCAACAAAACGGTAATTTTGAGGGGTTGAACGGGAATTCCAATGGGGGAGATTTCACTTCTGAGAAAAAACTGGATCTGGGCCTGACAATATGTAACGAAAAAATGCCAACAAAATCTCCCTTTAAAAGTCTATTTCCTTGGACCAGTAGCGTTGCTGACATCTTAATTCTGGTTGCTGTTTTTTTTTCTTCAAAAATTACTCCTTTTGGTACTTTTTTGCGACATCTTCTTTTAGTTCTCGGTCCCAAAAATACTAGCAGACAAATGTTTTGAAATAGCGGTGATACAGCATCGAGCGTTAAAAAAAATTTGTTCATGCACCTTTTTGTTGAAACCATTTATTGACCAGAATGAAAGGGCATTGAAAAAAAAACAAAGAATAATTGGTAAAATTGTTTATTCACGCGGCATTTAAAAATGATAGCGGGAAAAGTAGTTTATCTCGTTGTTGAGCCCATATTTTTGCATAAAAATGACGTAGTTCAAAATTGATGGAAGATATCAAAAGAGGCGGCAAGAATAAAATTTCCTAAAAAGAGAAGATTGAAAAAAAGCAATTGATGATATCGTCATATAATTTATATTGTTTCCTTATCTCTTTTTGAAGTTGTGTTGGTGAAATGTCGTCAAATAAAAGGTTAATCATCTGATTCTTATACAACTTTTTTGATGAGGGCTGTGGCGCCAATACTATTTGTCTGAATCTTTTGAATTAATACGTCAAAAACATCAAACAACAGTGTTTTTTTTTACCATGATTGTTTGATGTCAAACTGCAGTCTTTATCTCTAATGTCAGAGACAGACACATCTCCCATACAGATTTTTATGAAGCTCTTCGATGCCTCAAATTATTTGTTCAAAATATCTGTAGAAATTCATTAGAAATTTCAAGTCCATATAGATCCTCTAGATATATAGACATAAAACTACAAAAACATCATGTTTTTCCAACATGCACCGTTTTTCATATAACACGTTGTTTCTCAATGTGTCGAACTGAATAATAGCTTATAGCAAATGCCTGGGCAGGAATTTTTTGACGGGGGAGGGGGCTTAATGGTCAAGACAACTCTTTTTAACAAAAACTGGTCGAGGAAGACTTCTCTTTAGGTCAGCTGTTTCAAGTTTTTTGAGCTCTATCGACACCCTAAATTCACCATATAGAAAAAAAACTAAAAGGTTTTCATCAGAAAGTTGTTTTTTTTTTGGCGCACGTTCCTCCCTCAGAATTAGTACATTTTTACGACAAAGGTCCTGTTGATAATATTTTAGGGTTCGTCAGCCAGAAATAGCTGCAGTAAAAAAGAGCCAAAAAATGTTCCCCCGCCACTCGCTCGGCATGCAAAATTTTTTGTACATATGATGTTACAAACTTTTAAGAAAAAAGCGACCTGACCGCAAAAAATGCGTATTCAGCCAAAACTCAACATTTTCAGCTTAAGTTTTTTTTACTTTTCAAAAAGTTCTCCTATAATACCTCTAGTATTGCTCACAATCTTTCATTTTTATTTCGTTTAAACGAAAAACAAACAATTTTTTCGTTGAGAAAAAATACTCTGTCTAACTTCTAATAAACGGAGTAAATTTCACGTTTTAAGAAATTACTCATTTTAATATTTGAGTAGAGGGTTTGAATTTTGAATTGAACGGCTTTATTTCAACAAATTTTTTAAATGATGTGAGTTCTAAATTTCAAAAATTTCATACAAAACTAGAAGGTTTAATAAAATACTAAGCAGCAAACCGTTTTGTCTGAACAAAAAAGTGACACTCATTGTGACATTGGAAAAAGAGGTATTTTACTATTAAAAGTTTCAAGTGAAACTGATTTGATGCTTTATAATGTGAGAGTTTTGCCCAAAATTAATCACTTGTTTTTGTGCATAAGTTATGGTAGAGTTATATTATGCGAAACACAGGTCTGCTTCGCTTTTTTTAATGATTAATACGTTCCTCTTTCCAGCTTACACGAGTCTTGTGTAAGAATTGAACCACTCAAAATTTGATTTTTCTTTTGAGATATCACAGTTTGTATTTTGTTTTTTAAGTTTTGAGTGATATGCTTCAAAAAACCTCGAAAAAAGTTTCCGGACATTTTTGGCACCCTGCAGTAAGAAGACTTTGATGTGTGTTTCACCGCTATAAACCAAAAGTGCATAGTTTTTGAGGTATTTTACCAAATTTTTGAGAGAATTGAACTCAATCAAACAAAAACATTGAAATCATTGAAGATATGTTGTAAGTTTTTGTTTGTTTGATCGATTTGATGACAGCAATGAAGAAATGCACTAAGGCACCAATAGTCGCTAAAAAATCTCATTTTATGTTGTTTATCAGTAAAGTTTGAGAAGAGAACTTTTTTGTTTGTTTCTGATCTAATATTGCGATCTCTTGAATATAGCCTGTAATGTTTCCTTTCTAGTTTATGCTCGCTGATAGACTTTTTCAATGTTCTTTTTTACATATACCAATAAATTGTCTGTTAGCTTGCATTCAATGAAGAAATTAATTCTCCAGTTGGCACTAAAGAACGCTCTCCGAAAGCAAAAGTTTCTTTGACTTGATAAACCTTGCATCAACTTCGACTGGCTGTTTCTGTGTTTAGGTTAAAAATGCCATGGACAGTACCAATTTTGACTTCCTCCAGATTGACCAAGAGGTGGTCGAAGACGAACTGTCAGGATGGGATGAACACTTCTAGGAAGAGATTAGTCGAATCGCGTGATCAAATCAACTTAGTCGTGATCCAATTTTTCTCTTTTATCTTTACGAAGACAAACTTTGTGAATTATGAACTAATTTGTGAACTTCAGAGGTTCCGTCGTGCTTTCCTGGGGCAATTGATTGCTATGTGCAATTTTCTTCAAGAATAGTTTTATTTCTAAATTACGAACAAAAAACCAATCCATTGCTTGAAAGCTAATTCATTTAGTTGTGTTGAAATTAAATTGGTTTTTGATTAAAATTCGATTCTTACTTTAGTTTGTTTAATTTGTAAAAAAAAAATATGGTAATAAATTTATATTTCATTTCCGGTAATGGTTTCTGAAATTTATTTAATGAGCAGTTTGATAACTTTCTTTCTATATTGTGTTGCATGAATGCTATGAATGCTCGTCATTATCAATCAAATAAAAATTTAATCTGATAATTTTGAGACCAAGGAAAGAATATTTCCACTGAGAGAAATCTCAATGATATTTCGGGGAGATTTAAACACAGCTTATCAGTATTGACCTTGAGCTCATAGGGGCCAAGGGATGCAACTAATTGATTCTAAAAGGTAAGCTTGATAAAAAACAGCCATCTTTGCTCAGGATCCACCGGTATTTTTAAATTTTATGGTTCAAATTCATTCATTTGAATGTCGATCAAATTTGAAAAAAAAATCTATATTTAAATCAACATCATTAAATCATATGAAAAACTTCTGAATCCATGACATAGAATCAAAGACAGGACCAAAGAATTTGCATAAAGATACGCCAATAACGGAATGATGTTGTATAATTATCGAAAATCGGATGCTAATTGAAATCTTTTTAAAGACACTAAATCAAATGCATGTTAATATTTCAAAACCGTTCGATTACTAGGTAACTAAAGATTCTGCGTTTGGAATGCAGAAAAATCTTTCATGAGCAAATAAAAACTTATTTCTTAAAGCAATTTGACAGGTTTGAGATTTTTTCTCACGAAAATACCTCGAATGCAGAAATACTTTTTTCTTTTTTTTTGGAATAATTTGACAGATTTGAGATTTCCTCTCAACAATGGCTCTCTGTTTCCTTCTTGGTTCCGAACACGAAAAGCAAAATATATCAAAAGTGAAGCGATATAATGATTCTTTCAAGAATTTCGAGTATCTGCAGCTCTGGTGGCAATTGGTTTCAAACTTCAGACAAAATGCGAATCAACGGTTTATGAAATTATAGTTTATCTGTGTTGATTTTGATTGGGTAATGACAAATTTTGCCATGCTAATTCTCTTTTAAATGCTTTTTATTCATAAGTAAAAACAAAACTTGAAATTACAGTTCTTTGTTTTTGTCATTTTTTAAACATTGCTTATGTGAGGTTAAAACTAGGAAAACAGGAGGCATTTGAAAAAAAAATACAAGTTTCTTGGATGCAGAGTAGAGTATTTACGATTTTAGAAGTCAGCTCATAAACTGGCTTAGGAAAATGATTTTTTTTCAAATTGCTATAAGTCAACTTTAACAAGACTTTCTGGAAAACAGGAGATCTCTCTGGGGCACTCTGTGGCATTCGCATTTGGCTTCGAGTTTCTTGAAAGTTTGAAAGATTTTTTGTAGAGTTGAAAAAATTAAATTTAAATTCATTTTTTTACTATAGTAACCGAAAAACACGGGATTTGATTTTTGGCTTATGTAACACATTTTTTACTACAATTTTTCAATTTCTAAGGTGCAAACAACCACTCTCTAAATTTGAAAGAAGTTTATCCAAACTATTGTTTGCATGAACTCATAACTAAGATAAAGATGTAATTTAACAAGTAAATTTTGAGCACTAAAGTGAGGGCTACTTGAAGGTACTGTTTGTAATAAACAAATCCACATCAAATAAATTACTCACTCAACTTTTTTAGCACCTCAAGACAGTAGATGTTGCTGTTGACTGGTACCAATTAGCAAGCATCAAAGGCACGCAGGTCAACACCAAAATGAACTGAAAAAACTAATTTAAGCTTTATACCTTAAGACATTCCCTCTTAAACAGTAAATTGAAATGCATAATAAAAATTCAGTGTTGAATAAACTATATTGAATTTTAGACTGGCTGGCCTACCTTCTCCGTGGGCTCAAAAATGTTGAAGTTGGCTCTTCCTTTTAGCTTTCTTTTTGACGGCACATCCTGTTTCTTATATACACTCTTATGCCCCACTTTTGATATCCTTCGCATCGTCTCCTTCTTTTTGCGGCCCCTCAGTGATATTGTCAAACATCACCGCCTCAATTTTCGATACTAACATCTTTTTTGAGAATTTTCTCGAGCTGGTCTCAACCTGATTCTTCGAGCCCTGGCTTGAATACGACACTCTCCGCTTGCGTGGTCATCCCGCCTTCGTCTTTCCTTTCCTCTCCGTTGTTTTTGCTACTACGCTCCTCGTTTGGATCTCTTCGTCTCGTCCGGTTAGAACCGGCGGCTCGCCGATCCCCTCGTTGCTGACCTGCGATGCCAGCAGCTGCTCCGTAGCAACCATCTCCCACTGTGCGTGTCCGCTTCGCTCGTCCGCTTTGCTCTTCCGCCTTGTCCTTTGGCCTGTTTTCCCTCGTTTTTGACTTTAGACAATCACACGGCTTTGATTCGCTCGTTCACTGCCTGCTTGCTTTCGCTCTTCATCACGCCACTACGCCGCATGGCAACTCAACGGGTTCGGGTTCTTGTCCCGAAAGCAATTGTTCGCGCTTAAATTAATGACGTCATTATAGCGCGAAAGTGAAAAAGCTAAAATTAGATTTGCTTAGACAAAAGGCCTTGAAAACTACTGGTTTGTCCGATTAAGGTCAGTTTGCCATCAAAAATGTTTATAGATTTTTCTGTTTGTTGAAAACCGTTTGATAACATGTTAACCGGAGGATGTTTGCCTTATTTTATATTATCTTTATATTGTCATATTATCTGTTTAAATTGCCGATAATTTACAGATGTTGAACCAGGTTTTTCAGATCTTACAGGATACGAGAGTGCGGCACATTTTGGTCCGCCGACCCGGACGTTAGACATTCCGGACGATATTGCCAACGACTCCAAACTAACGATTCTACAGACTCAATATTGCAGCCGTTTGTTTGACACGAATCTACAGACTTAATATTGCAGCCGTTAGTTTGACACGAATCTACAGACTCATAATTGCAGCCGTTAGATTGACACGAATCTTCAGACTCAATATTGCAGCAATTAGTTTGACAGGAAGCTACAGACTCAATCTTGCAGCCGTTAGTTTGGCACGAATCACAGCCGACCCGGACTTTGCTGATTTTGGGACTGATCATTGCTGAAGGCATTGAGGGGAACATCACTGCGACTGGTCGCTAAAGAGTACGGATAGCCACAGCCGACCTGACCAGGACAATACTCGTGAACCCAATCGGCCGAAACGACACGGAAAATATTCCGGACGATATTCCAGAGGATATTCAGGACGATATTCCGAACGATATTGCCAACGATTCCAAACTGATTGTTCAACTGATTGTTCAATTGTGAACTGTGGTTCTGGTTGTGATATATTTGGATTCGAATTCTTAACTTCATCAACTGTTGTGAGAATGTGGTCAGTTTCGGGTTCTTGATCTCAAGGCAAAACTAAATCAAACGGCTGTGTCGAATTTTGAGGTGAATTATTGACTTCCTCAATTGTACTGATATTTTGGTCGGTTTACGGCTCTTGTTCTAGAGACAAAAGCGAATTAAAAAAAAAATAGATTGCAGATTGCAGAATTGTTCCCAGATTTTCCTGTGGATTTGGCGGCGGAAGTGGAGGGAGACCTGATTGTGGATTGTGGACCCATTTTTTCTCAACACCCGAAGTTTTCTGTGGAATTTGGATTCTACCGGTGAACGCCTCTACAAAACTTGTAAGACTAAAAAACCAAAACTTTATCCATTTGTGCTAACTTGCTGATCTGATGCTTTAAATTCTGATACGAGGTTTTTTGATGGCAAAATCGTAGCCCCCAATTTTTCTCGATACCAAAACCTGATCAGAAAATTTTCTGTGGGTTTAGGAAAAAACCGGCCTCATAAACCTTAATTACGTTATCCTAACACCTTGTTTGTAAGCTCAACACCGTATCGAAAAAAAAAAGACCAAAAATTTTGAAAAAAAAAAAAATCTGAAAAAACGCCGGGTTTATTCTTGAAACGTGGTGCAGCTAACTAAACTAGTTCAATTGGATAAAATTAGCCGTAGTCCAGACCCGTAGCGTATTATTAAGCAAATCGTCTTACCTTTTGCTACAACCTTGTTAGCTCAGGGTGTTGCGGGAGGTCAGGTCGCGGTTTGCTTGATTCCCTCCCTCTTAAGTTGATTTAAATCACTAAATGTTCATACTAGCTGCTAGCTCGCTGCACCACGCTTTGAAAAAACTGTCCCCCGCTTCGCAAAAGCGTGTATCTCAATCGTGCTTAGCCATTCCCGGGTTAAGTTTCAACCATAACGCAGTGAACGTCCGTAAAACTTGTCAGTATCAACTTGATCACTATCTCTTAAACCGAACCGACATTGTTATTTGGCACGACGCTGTTAATAACTCTATTAGTCGACACCGTAGTAATAACTTTAACGCACTAACTCCTAACCAGCTTAAGAAGATTCTTTTAAACTATAAACGCAATATTTATGCAATCGTTTACTGTAAGCGTGTAGGCACGGAAGATATATATAATAAGTTGAAAGAGTCAGGTATATTAGTTATTAATATAGTAACAGACCTGATATCTAGAAGGAAGCAGAACCTCACTGAGTTAGGGCAAAAGTACTTAGAACTACACCAGGATCCCTCTCTAGAACTGAAAACGTTTACGATCCTTAGGCGTTATAGCAAGAATTTGAAGTATATTATTTCAAAGAAAAATACTCCTAAGCCAGGAAAACGCAAGCGGCAAGCTAATCGAAACAGAAGAAATGCTGAGCAGCACTAGGAGTTAAATAAATTGCTTCTCTAAGGTGTGATATTGTTTAATGAGTCAGAATGTATTTATTAATACTAAATATAAGGTCTTAAATTAATTATTCTTCTTTTTTTTTTTCTCTCTCAAACTGAGCAGTTGAGCGGTTGAGTAGAAGTGAACAAGTTTAAAAGTAATCAAAATGACAGAACAAATTGAGTTAAAATATCGACGATTGATGAATGGTCGAACATCACTAGAAAATGAGCTTTCCGTAGTTCACAGTCGCATAACTGAGAGTTTAGAGGGACCAATTCGGAAAACAAAAATAAACGCCTTAATTGAATCTTGCAAGAGTATTCTCGAAAAAGCATTGGCTAAAAATGATGAACTTGTGATATTAGCTAATAAAACCGATAACCATAGCAAATTATTAACGGAGTTGGCTGCATGGTGGGATAGGATAGTTAAAGTTAACGATGAAGTA